CATATTTAGCTCAGCCCTTTTTTTTTTAATTACTGCCACAGTGGCCTCTGAGTACCTTCCTAGAAAGAAAAAAATAACAACACCAACACAAAAACAAAACCCACTTCCTTGGGTGGTCCTGCTCAAATGTGGCATCCTGGAGACCCCTTCTTCTTCTTCTTCTTCTTCTTCTTCTTCTTCTTCTTCTTCTTCTTCTTCTTCTTCTTCTTCTTCTTCTTCTTCTTTTTCTTCTTCTCAGATTGATAGGTTTTCTTTCTTTTCTTTTTTTAAATTTTATTTATTTATTATGTATACAACATTCTGCTTCCATGTATATCTGCACATCAGAAGAGGGCAGCAGATCTCATAACGGATGGTTGCGAGCCACCATGTGGTTGCTGGGAATTAAACTTAGGACCTCTGGAAGAGCAGCCAGTGCTCTTAACCTTGAGCCATCTCTCCAGTTACCCCCCCCCCTTCTTGAAAGTGTAGATCTATTAAATGAATTGGCATTTTTAGGTTCTGTAAGCACTGAGGAGTGGCATCTTGCCTGTAAAACACCTTCCCTACTGTCCCAGGTGAAGTGTAGACACTAAACTCACCACTTTGTCCATAGTGCCTTGTCACAGCTTTAAATGCACTCAGTTGCTCCCAAGCTGCACGGGATTAGCATCACTCTGCTCTATTCCCCCCCACACACCCATTTTCACTACATGGGGGCAACAAGCAACAAACATGCCCTGCTCAAATTTTCTCCATCCAACAAAAGAGTCCGTTCCTTTTTAATTCAGACTCACAAAGTTTTAGGACATGGTATTATGGAGCTCATGGAGCTAGACTCTTTGCCAGAACAGTCTTTTTTTTTATTTTAATTTTTTTAGACAGCGTATCTCTGTCTAACAGTCCTGGCTGTCCTGGAACTCGTTTGGTGGACCAGGCTGGCCTTGAACTCACTGAGATCTGCCTGTCTCTGCTTCCAAAGCGCTGGGATTAAAGGCGTGCACCACCACTGCCAGCATATAGCACAGTCTTTAGTGCAGTTCTTAATAAATATGCTGTGAATCTCTTGAGCAAAGTCTTTTCCTGGGCCAATGACTTAAAGGCTATTCCCCACTTTCTTTTCTCCCACATTCAGTGTGTGCTTTTATGTTGGTTCTTTGATTCATTTGGAGTTGTGTTTGTGCAAGGTGAGAAGTATGAATCTATTTGGAATCTTCTATATGCAGCTGTCCAGTATGACCAGCACCATTTGTTGAAGATGCTGTCTTTTTTTCCAGAGTGTATTCCTGGTTTCTTTATAAAAAACATCAGGTGTCCATATGTGCGTGGGCTTATGTCTGTGTCTTCAGTTTGATTCCATTGATTGATGTGTGTCTCTGTGCCAGTTCCATAATGTTTTTTATCACTACAGCTCTGTAGTACAACTTGAATTCAGGAACGGTGATACCTCCAGTAGTTCTTTCATTATTCAGGATATTTTAGCTATCCTGAGATTTTTGTATTTCTGTATTCAGCTGAAAATTGTCCTTTCAAGATCTGTAAAGAATTGTGTTGGGATTTTTATGGGGATTACATTGAATCTGTAGATTGCTTTTGGTAGGATGTCCATTTTTACTATATTAATCCTAGCAATCCATGTGCATGGCAGATCTTTACATCTTCTGATTTCTTCTTCAGTTTCTTTCTTCAAAGACTTGAAGTTTTTATCATATGAAACTTTCACTTGCTTGGTTAGATATTTTATATTATTTACGACTATTGTTAAAGGTGTGGTTTCTCTGATTTCTTTCTCATTCCATTTGATATATATATATATATATCTCACTCCATCATATATATATGATGGCTACTGGTTTTTGTGAGTTAATTTACTAACCAGCTACTCTGCTGAACATGTTTGTTAGCTGTAGGAGTTCCTGGTAGAATTTTTAGGGTCACTTGTGTATACTATCATATCATCTACAAATAAAGATAGTTTGATTTCTTCCTTTCCAATTTGTATTCCCTTGATATCCTTCAGTTGTCTTAATGCTCTAGCTAAGACTTAAATTACTGTATTGAATAGATATGGAGAGAGTGGACAGCCTTGTCTTGTTCCTGATTTTGGAGGAATTGCTTTGAGTTTTCTCTCTGTTTAAATTGCTATTGGCTATAGGCTTGCTGTAAACCACCTTAATTTTGTCAAGGTATATCCTTGATCTCTCTAAGAGATGTTGGATTTCGTCGAAGACCTTTACTGCACCTAATGAGATGATCATGTCTTTTCTTTTTCTTTCAGTTTGTTTATATGGTGGAATGTATTTACTATTTTCCCTATACTGAACCATCCCTACATCTCTGGGCTAAAGCCTGATTGACCATGGTGGATGATCTTTTTGATGTGTTCTTGGATTCAGTTATACATATTTAATCGAGAATTTTTGAATCAACATTCATTCAGAAAATTGGTTTGTAATTCTCTTTGTTGAGTCTTTATGGGGTTTAGGTATTTGGGTAAGTGTGGCTTCATAAAATGAAACAGACAGTGTTCCTTCTGTTTCTTTTTTGTGAAATAATTTGAGGAATATTGGAATTAACTCTTCTTTGAAAGTCTGATAAAATTCTGCACTAAAATCATCTTACCCTGGGCTTTTTTGGTTGGGAGACTTAATGACTCCTTCTATTTCAGTAGGAGTTATAGTTATGTTTAAAGTGCTTATCTAATCTTGATTTAACTTTTGTAAATAGTATGTATCAAAAAAAGTATTCATTTTCCAATTTGGTGGAACACAGGTTTTTAAAGTATGTCCTTCTGATTCTCTGGGAATCCTTGATGTCTGTTGTTATTTCCCCTTTTCATTTATAACTTTATTAACTTGGATATTCGCTGTCTGCCTTTTAGTTAATTTGGATAAGGCTTTGGCAATTTTATTGATTTTCTCTAAAAAAAAAAAACTAACTCTATTTCATTGATTTTTTGTATTGTTTTTGTTTGTTTCTGTTTTGGTTATTTCAGCCCTGAGTTTGATTTTTTTTCTTACCATCTACTCCTTTTGGGTGTGATTTCTTCCCTTTGTTCTAGAGCCAGGTATGCTATTAAGTTATTAGTATGAGATATCTCCAATTTTTTATGTAGTATCTTAGTGCTATGATCTTGCCTCTACATACCTACCTTCATTGTGTCTCATAGGTTTGGGTATGTTGTATATTCGCTTTCGTTCAATTCTAGAAAGTAATTTTTCATTTTCATTCAATAGAGAGTTGTTCAGTTGTTTATGAGTTTGTAAACTTTCTGTTGTTCCTATTGTTGATATACAGCTTTAATCCATGGTGGTCAAATAGGATGCAGGGTTTTAGTTCCATTTTCTCCTGTCTGTTGAGACTAGCTTTGTGTTCAAGTATGTTGTCAATTTTGGAGAAAGTTCAATGAGGTGCTGAGAAAAAGATGTATTTTCTCTTTGGGTGGAATGTTCTGTAAATATCTGATAGATTCATTCAGTTTATAATACCAGTTAGTTCCTGCATTTTTCTGTTTAGTTTTTATCTGGACGACATGTCTATTGGTGAGAGTTGGGTATTGAAATTTGTAACTATCAGTGTGTGAGAATCCATATGTGATTTAAACTGAAGTAGTCTTTCTTTTTTCTTTCTTTCTTTCTTTTTTTTTCTTTCTTTTTTTTTTTTTTTTTTTTTTTTTTTTTTTTTTTTTTCGAGACATGGTTTCTCTGTGTAGCTTTGGAACCTATCCTGGCACTTGCTCTGGAGACCAGGCTGGCCTCGAACTCATAGAGCCCCCCCTGCCTCTGCCTCCCAAGTGCTGGGATTAAAGGCATGTGCCACCAACGCCCAGCTGTAGTAGTCTTTCTTATGAACTTGTGTTTGGTGAATAGATATTAGGAATTTGCAATGTCTTCTTGGTGGGTTTTTCCTTTGATGAGCATATAGCATCTTTCCCAATCTCTTTGAAGTCTATTTTATCATATAATAATTAAAATGGCTATACCAGCTTGCTTCTTAGATCCATTTGCTTGAAATTACTTTTTCCATCCTTTTACCCTGAGGTGATGTCTATCCTTAATGTTAAGTAGATACAAAGGAGGGATCCTGTTTTCACATCCACTTTGTTAGTCTGTGTTGATGCTGAGAGATCAATGAGTAATGCTTATTGATTCCTGTTATTTTGTTGTTATTGTTGTTGTTGTTGGTGGTGGTGGTGGTTGTGTGTGTGTGTGTGTGTGTGTGTGTGTGTTTCCCTTCTTTTCATTTGCTGGTCTGGTATTATTTATTCCCTGTATTTTCATGGGTGTAGTTTATCTCTTTAGGTTGGAATTTTCTTTTTTTTTTAAATTTATTTATTAGTTAGGGAAAAAGCTTGTTTCACATGTAAGTCCCTTCTCCCTCTCCCTCCCCTCACCCCTATCCCTCTTCCTCCACCCCCAGCCTACCCTCCACCCCATCCACCCACCACTCCCCATGCAGGGTAGGGCCCTCACCGGGGACTCTGCAAAGTCCACCAAATCTTCCTGTGCTGGTCCTGGGCCCTTCTCCATGTGTCCAGGGCCAGAGTGTAACCCTTCACGTGGGATGGGCTCTCAAAGTCCCTTCTTGCACCAGGGAAAAATACTAATCCACCACCAGAGGCTCCCTGGAGTGCAGAGGCCTCCTTATTGACATCCATGTTCAGGGGTCTGGATCAGTCTTGTACTGGCCTCCCAGACAGCATCTGGGGTCGATGTGCTCTCCCTTGTTCAGGCCAACTGTTCCTGTGGGTTTCTCCAACCTGGTACAGACCCCTTCACTCTTCATTCCTCTTTCTCTTCAACTAAATTCCCAATTTCAGCTCAGTGTATATCTGTGGATGTCTGTCTCTGCTTCCATCAGTCGGAATTTTCTTTATAGCACCTTTTCTAAGGCTGAATTTATACACAGGCATTGCTTAAATTTGAATTTTATCACAGAATGTCTTATTTTCTCCATCTTTTGATTGAAGGTTTTGCTCATAGTAGTCTGAGCTGACACCTGTGGTCTCTTAGAGTCTGTAGAAAATTGGGAACAATCATGAAGCCATTCGATTATTAAGGTATTGTATTTATGCTTCACAGGCAGAGGCAAGGAAGAGGCCTCTTGCTGCATTCATCCAAATGCCTAGTTCATTAACAATTCTTTGCAGTTTCCTCACAGTGCAGTCTCTATTTAAGTACCTTCCTACATCCTTACCATTGCTTACCCCTCAGAATATCTTGCCATGGCCTTTTGGAATCCCCTTTAGAATACTGCCAGTGTCTCTTCTAGGAATTGTGATGATTCAGTTAGCCAATATTAGAAGCCTGAGACATTATACTTTCTAGATGGGAAGATCAATGCAGCATGCATGCAAGAATTACAGGACACTGAACTCTTGTCATAGATTATAATTTCAGGAGCGATCAGATTTGGGGGAATGGAGGGAGAGACTACTGTGACATGACTGGAATTGGGGAGTATTTTGAGGGTGAGGTAGAAACCTAGTAAAATGGAAACTCTCAGGAATCTACGGGGTGACCCCAGTGGAGACTCCTATAGCAGGGGATACGGAGCCTGAACTGGTCATCTTCTGTAACCAGGTAAGATTTTCAGAGGAGGGATGAGGACACCAACCCAGCTACAAAACCCTCAACCTACAATTTGCCCTGTCTTTAAGATGTTCTGGGGTAAAGGTAGCATAGAACTTGTGGGAGTAGCCAACCAATGACTTGTCCAGATTGAGACCCATGTGGCATACCTATCCACAAACCAGAAACTGGATATCCCAGAGACCTAGGATAGAACTAACCAAACGAGAGAAAAAGTCAAATGAAATGATTCCTAATGATGTCTGCTATACTCTTAGACAGGAGCCTAGCATAATCGTCATCATAGAGGCCTTATCCAACAAATGATTAGAGCAGATGCAGAGACCCACAGCCAAACGTTAGGCACAGCTTGGCTAATCCTGTGGAAAAGGGGGAGGAAGAGTTGTATGAGTCAGAGTTATCAAGGACACCACAAGAGAATCACAGAATCAACTAAGCAGGCCTCATGGGGGCTCACAGAGACTGAACAAACAATCAGAGAGCCTATATGAGTCTGACCTAGGTCCTCTGCATATATGTTATGGTTGTATAGCTGGGTGTTCTTGTGGGACTCCTAACAGTGGAAATGGGGGCTGTATCTGACTCTTTTGTCTGCTTTTGGGACCCCTTTCCTCTTACTGGGTTGCCTAATCCAGCCTTAATATGAGGGAATGTGCCTAGCCTATTGCAACTGATATGCCATGTTTGGCTGATATACCAGGGTGGCATACCTTTTTCTGAAGGAAAGTGGAGGAGTATGAATCTGGCAGTTGGAGTGTAATATAAGAGAGAACGATAAAAAATTCAGATATGAGAAATATGAGGCTAGTAAGACAGGGTTGGTCAAAGGTGCTCCCTGGAGAGAATGAACAAGACCAAGACAAGCTGGGTCTTGAAGGAGGAAAAGGATTGCCTTCTGAATCTAGAGAGACAATAAGCAAATGAGCCAGAAGGAGGAATGACAAGGATGGGCAGGAGAGACAGCAAGCAACTGCAGGAATACACTGTCACAAGGGAAGTATGCCTGAAAGAGTACAGTGTGGTCAGACTATGGAGATCTTGGCAAGAGAAATGTGACTTTGAAGATAGTAGTCACAGGCAGTGCAGCCACTGTCAGCCCATGAGCAGGAGTGCTACCAGTCAATGTGGTATCATGGAAAGAAAAATGCCACCTAGTCATAACGACAGATAGCAGTGGTAAAGTTTGTGGTGTAGAGTCTATTTCAATTATCTAGTGACAAGAAAAACAATTCATCAGTTTTAATGCTGTGCCCACATTACTATCCATTTATGCCCAATGTTGCTTTCTGATAAATTTCTGAAAATATTTCATTACTGGACAAGTCACATATCTTCTCTTTAGTCATCATCATTTTCCCTTGGAAAGGACATGTGGTTTTACTGTAGCACTGGCATAACTCACCAGACCCTCAGTAGCTGCATATTTCATGAGCTGTCAGCTTTTCTTTAGATATTGGAAATTTTCAGGCACTTGGACAATTCTTCAAATTCTCTCCATTTATTCTCCTCACAATTTCTATGGTCTTATGCTATATAAACTGTTTGAACTTCATGAATTTGAACAAAGGGAAAAAGCAAACAATGGGTCATACTTATTAAAGGAGAATCTAATCTGAAATAAGTTTGATGCTAGAGTTTTGCTGAAGTCAGGTAAGGCCCATGTGGAAATAACTTGCTTGTACAAATAAAGTCTGTCTGAGGGTTAGAGAATAGAGCTTGCCTCTAGCTAACTATAGAGGTCGGGGGCGGGGGAGGGTCTATACAGACAGACAGGAAGTGAGGTAGTTAGGCAGAAACAGGATATAAACAGGGAGAAACAGGAAATCACTCTCTTGTCTGCTGAGATGCTAAGGAGGTAAGGCTTGTTCCTTCTCTCGGATCTCCCAGCATTTCCTTCTATATCTGACTCTGGCTTTTTATTATCTTGACCAATCAAGAACTCCATTTACAGGCCCAGGGTGAGTCTTGAGGTACTGAAAAGTGCTGGGAGAAATGCAGGTGGAGAATCTAACATGGTGGGCTTGGCGCCGTATACAACATGCTTGTTGCAGCTCTTCAAGCTCTTCAAGTTTATCACTTAACCACTTAGAACATCAGCTTTATCATCTGTCAATGGAGGTGTAAAACTGAAGACATTCAAGTAGCTTTCTAGTTTTAAATTAATTCTTGACTGGTGAGATGGCTTAGTAGGTACTTGCCATCAAGCTTGGTGACCTGAGTTTAATCCCAGGGACCCACAGAGAGGGAGGAGAGAACTGACTTCAGAAAGTTGTCCTCTGGCCAGCCGGTGGTGGCGCATGCCTTTAATCCCAGCACTTGGGAGGCAGAGGCCTGCGGATCTCTGTGAATTTGAGACCAGCCTGGTCTACAAGAGCTAGTTCCAGGACAAAGCCACAGAGAAACCCTGTCTCAAAAAACCAAAAAAAAAAAAAAAAAAAAAAAAAAAGAAAAAAAAAAAAAAGAAAGAAAGGTAGTTGTCCTCTGGCCTCTTCACATATGTACATACACATATGCATAAATAAATATAAGAATAATAAAATAAATATAATAAAAGGTGTTGGTGTCGCACGCCTTTAATCCCAGCACTCGGGAGGCAGAGGCAGGCAGATCTCTGTGAGTTCGAGGCCAGCCTGGTCTCCAGAGCGAGTGCCAGGATAGGCTCCAAAGCTACACAGAAAAAAAAAAAAAAAAAAAAAAAAAAAAAAAAGAAAAAGAAAAAGAAAAATGTTTTATTTCACAATTTTGTAAATATATATGATCAAAGATGTGCCTTTAAAGTAAGTCTTTTGGGGGTGAGGTGCCATTTGCCTGTCACCCATGGTTGGGGACTTTTAGGGCAAGTGAGACCTCTGTCTCTTAAAGTATGTACACAAATAAGCATGAAAATAAGGAATAGATGAAATCAGACCATTCAGAATCTGGGGATTTTGTGGACACCCCAGCACACTGACTGCATGTGCCGGACAGTAGAGTATGGCTACTGTGAGTTCAGGTAGAAATGCAGGCTGTGGTGGCAATTGGTGATGCCACCATCTGAGATAGAGGCTGCTGACTGCATGAGACATCTCAAGGGAAGCAGGTCTGAGAATCCAGACATTGAGTATGGGTTTTCCCCAAGTCTCATAACAGACATTGGAGGTGAATTTGATTGTTCCCTCGCACATTTGGGACATGTAGACTATATCCAGGCTGAGATATTTGCAATACACTGGAGCATTCAGAGCAGGTCCACAGAGCTGACATCCACAGCTCACTACCCACCTGATAGTGGTACTCCAGGTGAGAGTGCTTGCTGCTGCCTACACATCTAACTGACATAAAATTATACCTCAAAATAATGAATGTGTTTCTCATATCTAAAGTCATCCAACAAAGGAACTAATTTGTAAGTTAGTGAAATGTACTGTCATGATTAAATTTGTTTGTCCCTAAAAGAATTGTTTCTATAAATAGTGCCTCAAGGCTATTTTATACTTCTATATTGCAATTTACAAAGAAAAGAAAATTATGGAGTTTTAGAAAATACAATTTTAGAAAATTATAGAATTGTGGGAGCTGGAAAGTCCAAAGGCATGGTGTTGCACCTGCTTGCATGCTGAAGAGGGTTTCTTTGCTGTAACCTCCTGCCATGGGAGATAAAAAGGCAGGAGAAGGCACATACAAACAAGCAGAAGGGACTGAGGCCACTTTCATAAATCCATTTGTGTGATAAGTAACCCATTCCCAAGACAATGACAATTTCTGCTCATAAGGCCTACCTCATACCCACTCACCTCTTAATGCACTCTACCTGCCCAACACTGTTGCACTGTAGGTTAAGTTTCCAGCATATGAACTTTGGGGGACACATTTACACCATGATAGATGGCCTCAGAATTGTTTCCTCTCTTGTTAGTTTTCTCTTCTTGGTAATATCAGGGCTCAAGTTCAGGGCTATGGAATGTGCTAAGCACACACTTTACCACTGAGACACACCTCCAGTTGCCATGTGACCTTCCTAGGTGTGGCATTGCTAGTCTGTATTTCCATTAATCTGGAATGGCACTATGATTTGCTTTCATCAGTAATACTCACGAGAAATTATACAGTTCAACGTCATAGTTCAAACAGGCTTTATAGTTTCCATTTCTTACTCATGAAGCCCCAGGTGACATCTAGTACCAACTCAATTCAGTGCTGCCCTATAAATGACCCAACACAAGATCAGCAGTGGAGCTATGTTGCTGAGCCCATCCAACCCACAGAACCATGAAAGCATGTCTCTTGTTTCATACTGAGTTTGAGGGTTTTTCATGATAGTCTCATTTTGCTTACTGCATCTCCATGGCACTATTTATTAAGCCTCTTGTCCATACTCTTGTAAGTTGGTGTTTAAGGCTTAATCATATTCACAATCATATTTGTGGCAATAACCCTTCATAGATGGTATTCTACCAGGAGGCACATGCTATGACCTTGCCTCTTTTGTGACTAGCATCCACTGGTTCTCTCTGCTCTAGTCCATTCCTAATTACAAAATAAAGGTCTTCTAATATTAATTCTTTATACATTAGAATGGAACACTTTCATAAAGATTTTTCATCAGCTCATAGGTCAGAACCAAAAACTGGGTTTCTTGCTTTATTTATCATTTGAAAACTAAACTATTTCATTCCTTGCTGTTTATCAAAGGTGGCTAGGGAGGTTCTATTCTTCCTTGTTCTGTTTTTGTTAATATCTTCATTAATTCATGGATTTAGCACATTTGGTGCACTTTATTCCTTTGCTTTTCATCTTTTGATATACATTGGCTAATGGGAAGCTAATATCTAGGCAGCAGTAGATCCTCTCACTTTGAGCATCACTGTTAGGTGGATAGTGACCTGTAGATGTCAACTCTGTGGACCTACTCTGAATGCCCTAGAATATGGAAAACTTCTCAACCATTACATACTCCAGAAGCCTCTAATGTTTTGGGGGAACAACCAAAACAAACCTCCGACATCTGTTCTAGGCCTGGGAAACACATAGTCAGGTACAACTTGAATACTTACCTTACTTCAGGCTGCTGGTGCTGCAAAACCAAAAAAACAAAACAGTCACATGCCACATAGTAGCATTTCAGTCAATGACAGACAGACAGAGAGACAGACAGACAGACAGCATATCCAACTGTTATAAGAGACCTGAAAAATTCCTATTGCCTGATGGTATTTGTTTGTTTGTTTGTTTGTTTTCGAGACAGGGTTTCTCTGTGTAGCTTTGGAGCCTGTCCTGTTACTCGCTCTGTAGACCAGGCTGGCCTGGAACTCACAAGAGATCTACCTGCCTCTGCCTCCCGAGTGCTAGAATTAAAGGCGTGCCTGCTGCCTGATGGTATTGTAGCCAACAAAACAATGTTACTCAGCTAGGTACTGTCCATTTCTGTACCACTCAGAAAGCTCCAGGATGATTATGAATTTGAAGCCAACCTTCGCTATTCAGTGAAACACTGTCTAAAACAAAAGTAGTTAATCACATATTTGTGATGATGCTGTTATAAGCAAATGTATACAGTTTCTGGTGGTATAAAAACAGCACATACAATTATGTCCAGTACCTGATATTTGGTGATGATAACGATGGAATATACTATGGTTTATGCATTTACTATAGGATACCTTTTATGGCTATTATAGTTTCATTTCTGCTGCTATAGCAGATACTCTGAGAAAAGCAATACAGAGGAATAAAAGGTGTATTTGAATTACAATTCCACACTACAATCCATTATTTTGGGGAAATCAAGGCAGGAACTCAAGTATCTGGTCACATCACATCCACAATCAAAGGCAAGGAAAGAATAAATACATCCTTGTTTGCTTGTGCTTGGCTAGCTCTTCTCACTCATATTCCAGTTCAGGATGTAGCCTATGGAATGGTGACACATTCAGAGACAGTCTTTCCATCTCAATTAATAGTCAAGACAATTCCTCACAGACATACCTATAAGTCAACCTGATCTAGATAATTCCTCAGTTGAAGCTTCCTTCTCAGATAATTCTAGGTAGTGACATGTTGGTATTTAAAATTAGCCATACAGTGGCTATTTTAGAGTATACTCCTACCTATGAAGAAAAGAGTTTAATGAAGAACAGTAATGAAGCCACGTTGCTTCAGCAGCAGCCCTCATGTACCTTTCACCACAGCTCTGGATTGTATCATTTACTCTTGTCCTTGATTTAACCTTGTGCCTTTTGTTCTTGATGACTTCTGTGTGTAGAAAACACACGCCTAATACTGTAAATAAGAAAACACAGGAGAGATGGCTCAGTGGTTAAGAGCACTGACTGTTCTTCCAAAGGTCCTGAGTTCAATTCTCATCACCACATGGTGGCTCACAACCACCTTGAGTGAGATCCGGTGCCCTCTGCTGGCATGCAGGCAGAAGACATAATAAATAAATAAAAATAAATTTAAAAAAAAAGAAAGAAAACACATAGAGGGGTTGTCCTAGAAAGGAAATTAAAAGTGATTAAGGATTACAGTGGTAGAAAGTCAGTGATGGCCATTACTCACCAGTCAGACATGTCCTACCACACCATACCCACAGTTTTGAAGAACACGAACAAAACTCCAAAAACCTGTTAAAGGAACAAACGAAAATTCAAAAGGTCCTGTAAAATGTATGGAGAAACTGGTGATGATCTAATTGAGATCATATCTCTTCCAGCTTGTTTATAATGCTGAAAGAAAAGTCTGGACCTATTTTTTGTGGTAAACTTAGTACTAAGTCTGGGTAGTTTTAAAGACCCAAGAATCATTATCTATGATATAATAAAGTGAGCTGTGTGCAAGCAAGTGCTGATGTGAAGGTAGAGGATTGTAGGCTCTAGATAAGCAGATGGAGGAGAAAAGTTACTTCTCAGGCAAATTTTCTCTCTAGACCAGCAATTCTCAACCTGTGGATCATGACCCCTTTGAGGGTTGAGTGACTCACAGGGATCACCTACAACCATTGGAAAATACAGTTGTTTACATTATGATTCACAATAGTAGCAAACTTACAGTTATTAAGCAGCAATGAAATAATTTTATGGTTGAAGGGCACCACAACATGAGGAACTGTATTAAAGTGTTGGAGCATTAGGAAGGTTGAAAACCACTGTTCTAGACAAAATCCTACTCTCACAGAGACACATGTTTGAAAGGCCTTTTCTCTATAAGGCAAGTTAACTTCATATTTCAAAAATTTGAAAAACGAGAAAATAATCTTGCTTGGTGGACAGCATTGAAGCCATTGTGATCCAGCATAGCAAGAGGCCAGGGCACACATATCTTACTAGGACACATACACTGCCAACACATTACATCAAATGATCATGTGTGACACAACTTCTCTGTCATGCCCTCCTGTGCCAGCAAAACAGATGCTATGCCACTCATGCGTGCAAGTACACTTGATCATGTACATGCAATGAAGAGATCACTAAATGATGCATTTCTCAGAATGGATCTTAGTCATTAAGCAATGAATGACTTTTCCATAACCTGGATGACTTAAGCTGCAGACACATAAAGTTCTGAAAATCAGTGTGCTGGGTGACTCAGTCCCTGTAGAGAGCTTCTTTCCTGACAGATACTATTCTGACATATGAGGAGGAGAGAGAAATAGTTCTAGTCTCTGCCTTGTTCTGTAAAGACATTAACCACTCATAAAATGTCTCACCTTCGGCTGGGCGTTGGTGGTGCATGCCTTTAATCCCAGCACTTGGGAGGCAGAGGCAGGCGGATCTCTGTGAGTTCAAGGCCAGCCTGGTCTCCAGAGCGAGTGCCAGGATAGGCTCCAAAGCTACACAGAGAAACCCTGTCTCGAAAAACAAACAAACAAACAAAAGTCTCACATTCATGACCTAGTTACTTCCCAAAGTGCCACCTTCAAATTTCACCACACCGAGATTGAAGTTTCCACCTATAACCTTGGGGAAATACAGACATGTACTACCCCCAAAAAACAATCTTGCACCGTTGCCTTGTTTTCTAGTATAACTAAGCTCATGTACATCTTTGATTTTAGACTTTGAGTCAGTCATTTCTCCCAAATATATCTTTCCCTGTTATTGTAAAATAATGTTTAGTAACTACAACTGAAGCTCTACAATTCCAGGGCCTTTCAAAGGGAAGATGTAGGAAATAGATTTTTTTTAAAAAAGGCATGGAGGCTGAGGTGTATAGCTCAGTGGTATAGTGTAATCATAGTATGCATAAGACCTTAGGTTTAATCTTCAGCATGTGAATACCCACAAGCACACACATCTGCCATAGTCTAAATGTACAATGACTTCGAAACAGAGATATTAGTAATTTTAAGAGCTGAGAGAGCACACAGAAATTCAAAGGGGACTTACAGGCACATTTCTGAGAGGTAGCCAGTTGCAATAGCAGTTGTAAATGAGGTCTAGTAATTATACTTTTAGTACAACTAATTTTGAGAAATAGGTATAAAACTATAAAAGTTCTCAAAGCAAAATGGCCAGTAATAAACATCTACAAATGAATGAATCCATTTTAGGGCTTACTGTATGGCAGGGAATAAGCCAGTCAGTGTTACCAGGGATATTAAGACTGTCTCTCTTAGCTGCTTACAGTGCAATGGTGATGAACAAGCTCCCTGAAGTCCCCAAGTAGGAAACGGGTGAGTTAAATGGGGTAGTGGAGTCCATGCAAACTGGAGACCATATGGGAAGCTGCCACTGTCTTCTGTTTTCATCATATATGGCAGGCCCAATGTTACCATATTCTATTATCAAAAGAATAGTTACCATAAACTTACTTTGAATGAATTCAATTTTTTCAATGTTGAACAGTAAACACTTAAAAATACTAGTGTGATCTGGGACCATTGTGACCTGTAGACTGCACATGGCAGCTTGGTCCAAGAGCTGTGTCCTATGACTTGTCCAGGAATAATGCCAAAAGTCATTGTAGGGCAATTTCATTTGAAGTCTGAGGAGTCAAGTATGTGCAGATTCCTTAGTCATTCCCATTAGGAAATTTATTTTCAATTATATTTGAATTTTTTTTAAAGTTTACTAGAAATTACCCCCAAGCTTAGCAGCTCAAAACAACAGTAAACATTAACTTTCTTTTACAGCATGGACCAGGAATTCATGTCTCAGAAAGTTGCAGCTGAGAGCTCAACATGCCATTTGGATTTCAGGTCCTGACCTTGAGACTAGAAGACATTTTTCTCTGAGGATTTGCTTACATGGAGAGGGCTGTTGGAAAGCCCCGGCTCCTGCACTTAGGCCTCTGCTGTGTAAGTCTCTTTATGGTAAGCCGGCTGGCAATCATCACAGTCCTGGGGGGTGGGGGGCAAAGTGGATGCCGCAGAGTGTCTGGTGACATGTTGAGAGGTCTCAGCTCTGTGAGTTTTAGCTCAATGTAGACCAGGTGACTTGAAAAACAGACATTTATTTCTATAGATCTGAAGGCTGGGAAGGCCAAGATCATGATACTGGCTGATTTGGTCTTTGGTGAGGGTTCTCTTCCTGGTTGTGTCCTCATGTGGGAGAATTAGGAAGCTCTATTGCATTGCCATCTTCTTATAAAGGCACCAAGCCCATGTGGGCTCCACCGTCATGACCTTACTCAGACCTAGGTACCCCCAAAGGCCCATCCTAAGATCATCACATTGGAGGTTAGGACTTTAGATATGGATGGGACACAAATGTTTAGCTTGTAACAACCCTGTTGGTGACAGCCAAATCCTGTGAAATGTGACAAGGGATGAGATCCTGTGAAGTAGTGCCGGCCATTCTGGAGACTGGCCATTACAATTCTGAACTGAATTCCTTTAAAACTGGGACAAACCTCTAACCAATAGGATAACAAATGAGAGAGAGGGCTCTGGGTGTAGCTCAGTGGTGTGGCACTTGCTTAGGAGTTAGGGGATCCAGGGTTTGATCCATATTGAGAAGTGGAGGGTGGAGTCGGGGTTTTCTTTCTATATTCATATAGTTAAAAACTAACAACCTGTTTCCTGAGCACTCTTTGTGGTGGGTAAGGCATTTCCAATCCTCCCTCTCAGAGTCCTGATCATTTTGCAAATCTCAGGTATAGAAATTTACCTGAGCAATGATGTACTGTATGCCCCCATTGGTAAGGGCGATGCCAGCAAAACTGAACCTAGTGCTAAAATGAAATCTGTCAACCATTGGACAACATTACCTCACAATAAATAGTCAAGGTTCTTAGATGACAAATGCTGACTGAGGCTGAGAATTCTGTCTGTTTTCATTATAGCTCAGAATGAGGAAGCCCCAAGCAAGTATTCCAGGCTGACAGTGTCCTAATGCTTAGCTGGTGTATCAACACTCATTCTCCCCCAGCAGGGGGTGGGGAGAGCAGGGGATGAGGGTAGGGGCAAGGAGTAGGGATAATGGGGTAGGGATATGGGGTGGGGGTGAGAGTAGCAAGAGGTGGTGATAAAAGGGAATAGGGATAGCAGGGGTGAGAGTAGCAGGGGGCGATGGTAGCAGGGAGTAGGGATAATAGGGGTGAGGGTAGCAGGGTGTGGGGGTAGCAGAGGTGGGGGTAGCAGGGAGTAGGGACAATAGGGGTGAGGGTAGCAGGGGTGGGGGTAGCAGAGGTGGAGATAGCAGGGGGTGAGAATAGCAGGGGTGAGGTAGCAGGGGGCTGCTGGTGATAGTTCTTTTTCTTTTTTTTGAAAGGAGATGGTGTCAACATAATTTGATTAGCACACACGGGTGAGCTACAGGAATCAGACATTAGCAAGGAAACAGCAAAAACATATTTAGTGTTCTCTTTTTCTTTAAAGCTGTGAATAGCATTTGTGGGCTACAAATAATTCAATAAAGGATAGAAAGTCAAAAACTGGAGACATTTTCACAGGTTCTAAATTGATCCTTTTATATTCAAGGAGGGTTATCCCAAGCTGTAACTGGTGAAGGATAGCAGCCTGCAGTTGCCGCTGAGAGCTTTTGGTCTAAATGGCAGTCTTGGTTGAAAAGGCAGTTATGAATGGTAGACAAGTATATATACACAGAGCAGTGTTCTGAAACTCAGTTATTTTTTTAAAGAAGGCTGCAGATATTCTTTTCAGCAGAAAAGAAACAGATTCAGGGTCAACAAGCTGGAGTCAGAGTCTGAGGAAACACATGGACCATGCAAACGAGCCAAAGTCTCAGTCCCTGGGGTTTAAGTACATACCTAGTTAGCTCTGCAATCAGTGAAAACCACAGAGGGTGTTGGGGAACATATAAGCCCAGGGACAATTTCCTGTGATTCACCCCCAAAGGTCAATTTCCATGTTGCTGATGAGACAAAACTAGCTACGTTCCCTCATCAAGTCTGATTTATTTGGCCTGAGATGGACACACAGGTCACTAGTGAGCAGGTCAGAACCTCTTAGCACAGCACCACCTCCCAGGATACTAAGCTTTATCAAGACTGGTTCCCTCTCTGCACATTGGAGTACTGTTTATTCTGCCTAAGGGACCTGACTCTTACAATCCTTCAGGCACTCATCCTTCAAGACAGCCCAGGAAATACTTTCTGAATAAAACCCTACCCCCACATGGGCTCAGAGTTAAGCACATTACATACACATTACACACACATATGTACCACACCACACGTGTACACCACAGACAGCAAACTCACACACACAGAGGTAAACATGGTACATGCATACCAACCACATAACATATATAATCTATACCATACATTTGCACCACATAGCAACCATCCACAGAGTTAAATATGGTACATACATGCCAAACATACACATGCACATACAATACCAAACATACTACCACATAGAGAAACCACACACACACATACACTGAACTTAAACACAGTGCATGCACACTGATCACATACATATATGTTTGGAACCATACATATGCCAAACACATGTGATGTGCTTCCTTCCATCTTTAGCTCATCACGGCATGAAGCTTCTTTGTTTCTATGTGACGTCAATGATCTGACTTTCTCAAATAGGATGAGATCTACATTTTCACCAATGTCTGTTACTTAAAACATGAAAAAGGGGGTTTGTTTTATAGCACAAGCCCTAACCAACTAGAACATGATTTTTAACAGCAGGCATAAATATAATGTTATCAATGAGAGCCTCTGAGCAGAGCGTTAATCATGCCATACAGGGAATAACCAGCCTGCGAGTGAGGTCGGCTGTGAAACAGCCACAAAATGACCAAAAGGGAGAGGTGGAGAAGGACAGAGAGGCCTTTCAGTAATTTGTCTTTAAATAACTGAAAGCTCTTAGCAGTGTAGAGTTTCTGTGTTTCTGCTGCAAAGTAAACGGAGAGATTTCACCTCCGACTCCATTTACGGTTGCCTCAAATGTAAGCTCTTTTCATGGATGATGTCATGTGCCTTAATGAGCAGAACAAGGTTTAACAGTTGTGGGACTGGAGCAAGGCTGGTGTTCCATCTTCCAGTCCATTACCACACATTATCTATGGCTTTTGGGTAATTGAGCAAATAATACTCTTGACAACCATTCCCCTCTTTGACTCCAAAGCAAGGTAATTAATTAAGGCCAGAAGGGGATTGTTAGCATCTGCTAATGAACCACAGTTGAGGGAATTACTTAGGAGAGCCCTCTTAGAGCCTGTAAGTGTACATGAACAAGAGTAGCTTGGCCACTAATGCTCTCAGTCTCTCCCATCACTGAGTCACCAAAGGCCACATTAAATGTGGAACAACTGGAGCACTTCTGTGACATGGCCCTGTCTGATAATGTTTGTATAATGTTGAGTGGCTATCTATTCTCAAACCATATGGCACCCCAAAATATGATGATTCAGATAAGAAACTGACCCACCAGAATCCACTCACCACTGTGTTATATAGCCTAAATGGCATACTCCACCCCACCCCCGAAAAAAAAGCACATTGAGGAAGTTCTCAGGCCTGCAGAAAAGTACCATGATATTAGGTTAGTACTTCCTAAACTGTGTGGTAAAAGGGCTCAAACAATAGCTCAGTGGAAAGATACCTTCCTACCATGGGTGAGACCCTGGATTCAATCCCCAGTACTTTAGATCAGTCAATCAGTCTATCAATCCCCTCTGTGACACTTGACATGATGATGCATGACTGCAACCCCAGCACAAGGGAAGCTGGAACAGGAGGACTATGAATTTGAGGCAAGCCTGGAATACATAGCAAGGCCACCGGCATAGGGGAGTGGGTGGGTGTTAAGAGAGAAGGGATGAAGAAGAGGAGAGGGAAGGAAGAGAAACGAGCAAGAGAAACAGAGAACAGTCTCCAAAAGACAGGACCAGCCCAGCCTTCCTGGAGAAGAATTCAGAACCTTCAGAACATCTTTCTTCACTTCCTCTCCCTCTGCACTTTAAAGAGATGGAGATTTGTAAGTGAACACACACACACACACACACACACACACACACACACACACAGCACAGCACACATACAATAGGTCAAGGGTCTTGAATGTGGATCTAGACTAGACAAATAAAATGGCAATCATATTCTGTTGTTTAATGGCTTCATTAATAGAGCCAAAACATTGTAGTGTGGGAACAAATTATAAAAGATCTAGTACTCAAAATCGAGATATAATAACAATGTCTACTAGTATTGTTAAATAGGTATTAGAGGGGGCCATTGTTTTTTTACTTAGTTTCTGTACTGGATCCCAATAGATGAGACTGAACAATCTCAATGCTTCCACCTGAACTAAATTACTTGTCTTCAAATGAAAACTAAGCTGTTAACTGGTTTCCCAGTAAACAGTAAGAAGTGAGTGAGAGCAGGCAAATTTCCCAGTCAGGTTAGTTTCTACAGTGATAATGAAACTCTCTGTTTTCATCCTTGTTTAAAGGAAGTGACCTAAAGCAATCTGGTGTTCACTAATCAGCTATTTTTTCTATTGTTTTGTCTTCTTGTCTCATTGTACAAATAATTGATAGTGACAAACTCTGCATTTTGCATACTTTTTAAAGTCCTTCTCTGTCCATAAAAGCAACCTGTTAGGCCAGAAAGATTGCTCAGTGGGAAAAGGCACTTGCTGCCAAGCCTGACAAATCAAGTTCAGTCCCTGGAACCCAACTCTGGAAAGTTGTCCTCTGGCCTCATCATGCACTGTGGTGCTTGTGCATGTGGAGGTAAACACATACACACACACACACACACACACACACACACACACACACACACACACACACTAAAAAGTCAACCTCTTCTTAGCCTGTGTGAATTCTACCTCATGGAATGAATTGCTTTGTACAGTCTAGAATTGCAGAGTAAAGCGTGATGTGATCTTTTAAGTGTTGTAGTTCCACCCTCATATTGTGTGCAGAACATCATTTGAATCTAATTTCAATGATTCTTGAAAACAAAGTGAGAAAATTTGGAAATGATGGCTCATTGCCATCTCCCCAATTAGTGACATACTTGGGGGTGAATGTTAGCATATATCCATGAGTAAATGTAACAGATGAATGTTAAAAACTGTTTTTCTATTTTTATTTTCATAGTTTTAAGGGCCAAATAATCATGTTCACATAAATATCTGAAGGCTTTGGGCTTAGCAGTCCCTTCATTCTCGGGAGGATACCCAAAGGAGCTGCCAGGGTATTTTTTGTTGGAGATGATGGATAGCTGAAAATAACTTGTACCATTATAATGCTTTGGAGTAGCAGTGAAAGGTTCTTGATGTAGTTACAGGGGAGTGAGTTGTCTGTAATATAATACATTGTTAGACAGTAGTAGGAGTCTCAGTGCCACACAGCAGGGTAACTAGAGATAATGATGATATACTCTACAGTTCAAAACACTGCAAAAAAAAAAAAAAGAAAAAGAAAAAGAAAAAGAAAAAAAGAAAAAGAAAAAGAAAAGAAAAGGTCTGGATGTTTCACCCATAAGATGATAGATGTTTGAGGAGACAGAAATGTTTATCCTGATCTGAGTATCACTATATATGTGTGTACGTGTGTGTGTGTGTGTGTGTGTGTGTGTGTGTGTGTGTGTGTGTGTGTGTGTGTGTGTGTATGTGTGTGTGTATCTCAAAACATCCCATCCCATGGCACCAAACAAGTATTGTCTGTTTTTTTTGTTTTTATTTGTTAAATTAATTTAAATTTTAAAATAATTATTTAGCTAAGCAATGCAATTATTCTTCATAATTTATCAGCTCCATTAGGTCTGCTTTCAATTTTGTTGAAAGCAAAACATTGGAAACCATTTGGTTTCCAAAGAGTGTTACCAGGTCGTCAGGGTTATTCACCTTCTGAGTGCTAACATCTCCAGTTAGTTATCTCTTTCCCTGGGGGCCTATAGTCTGTAGCAGTGTTCCTTCAAGGTCTGGAAAGGGTTGTGCTTTCTTCTTGTTCTGGGAACTACAGTATATTGTGGAAAGCTGGTGGGAAAGACCATGTGTAGTCATCACTGGTTCTTAAAGAAATCCATTATAGAAATGTGCACGTGGCAATCAGTCCCTACAACACTAGCTATTCCCATATAACCTAAAAGAGCCTCTACATTAGTCTTAGTGTTTATGCACCCCATGATGAAGGTCACTGCCCCACCCAGGACATGGGCAAGATGGAATCACCATCCATACTCATTCTTGCTGTGGGTCTGAGGGTCTAGGGACAAGGCTTTTTTTTGGATACTGTTTTGTCCCCTCTTTTCTTTCCTGGCTTCCAGAAAAATCACACCTCAGAAGTCAAACTCCGGGTTTCAGTTAGTGTTTTCCAAGTTGTCTTCTAAATTTGGTTAAGTTCCTTGATTGTGTGCCCCAGCTACCAATGTGTAAAATGCAACAGTAGTCTTTGCCTCATAGAGTAGATTTGTGAGGTGAAAGAATTCAGGGACATAATGCAATCAGACATCAAGCAAGTTTTGAAACTAGGATGTGTAACTATGACCAGTTTTAAGTTCCCTAGATGGTGACACAACGTTAGGTAGCTATCTGGAAGTTTACAGTAAGAATTCTGATGGAGGTCAGCCATACATTTTGTTTCCTGGCAGGAATTGTGTTGAGGTGAGGGGATCTCCAGTGGCCACTGAAAAGGGTTCTTTTTTGGACTTTTGTTTTTGTATCAATGACCAAAGATTAGGCAGGCTACAGTAAAAGTTTTTAACCTATATTCAGTACATTCTCACTCCTTATCACTCTACATTTCCTTATTGACTCAATATAATATAGCCTGCTTGGGTTTTGTTTTTTTTTCCCTTAGGATAGTTGATTTGCATATTTGTCTCATTAATATTTAATATTTATGTAAAGTTCATGTTTGTCTGATCTGTCAAGGGTAGACTTTGAGAAGAAGAAAAAGGATAACCTGGGTGTCAGAGATAATTCAGCTAAGCAACAACAAAGGAAATTATGCTCCTCCACAGCTTCTGAGGGTTCCTCAGGAGAAGGATTTTTGAAGATGGTTTTCTCTGAATGGTGGGCAGAGACTATATTGACAAGCTGATGCCTTCATTCTCATTGGTTTCTCACCCTGCTGCTTTTCTTATAACTAGTTAGCTAGGTGGTAGAAAAGAACTAAACCTGTGAAGGTGTTGGGCGCTCGGATAAGGACTTTTATGACTTACATTCACTTTAGTGGAGAACTACCTGGGTGGAGAAGGGAGGCAGATGAGCTTTGCTTCCATCACAGTAGGGATCCACAACACATGTTTGGAAACTTATCCTCATTCTGCCTTCCTTATGCTGTTGCAGGACTGCTAAGCCATGCCAATCAGCCGAGGGAGACTGTTGTTGAAAATCGGGTGTCCACAGGTGTGTAGATTGATGTGTAGGCCTTTGGTTTGATTCAGTTGATCCTCCTGTCTGTTTTTATGCCAACACCATGCAGTTTTTATTACTATAGCCCTGTAGCAGTGCTTGAAATCTGGAATGGTGATACCTCTGGAAGTTCTATTATTGTATTGGATTGTTTTAGGTATCCTGGGTTGTGTTTTGTTTTGTTTTGTTTTGTTTTTCCATATGAAGTTGAGTAGTATTCTTTCAAGGTCTGTAAAGAATTGTGTTGGGATTTTAATGAGAGTTGCATTGAATCTGCAGATTGCTTTTTGTAAAATGGCCATTTTTACTATGTTAATCCTACCAATCCATGAGTATGGAAGATTTTTCCATCTTCTGATATCTTCTCCAAGTTCTTTTTTCAAAGATTTCAAGTTCTTGTCATACAGGTCTTTCACCTGCTTGGTTATAGTTACACCAATATATTTTATATTATTTGGGGCTACTGTGAAGGGTGTTGTTTCCCTGATTGCTTCCTCTGCCTGTTTATTGTTTGTATATAGCAGGGCCACTGAGTTTTGTTGTTGTTGTTTTGTTTTCTTTTGTTTTTGTTAATCTTGTATCCAGTCACTTCACTCAAGGTGTTTATCAGCTGTAGGAATTCTCTGGTAGAAATTTTTGGGAACACTTATGTATACTATCATATCATCTTTGAATAATGGTACTTTGACTTCTTCCTTTCCAGTTTGTATCCCCTTAACATCCTTTAGTTGTCCAATTGCTCTAGCTATAACTTCAAGTAGAGTTTCTCTCCATTTAATTTGATGCTGGCTATCGGCTTGCTATATATTCCTTTTATTATGTTTAGGTGTGTCTCTTATATCCCTGATACCTCTAAGACTTTATCATGAAGGGGTGTTGGATTTTGTTAGAGGCTTTTTCTCAGCATTTAATGAGATGATCATGTGTTCTTTTTTTTCCCTTTTCAGTTTGTTTATATGGTGGACTACATTGACAGATTTTCATATGTTGAACCATCCCTGAATCTCTGGGATGAAAGGTACTTGATCATGATAGATGATCTCTTTGATGTGTTCTTCAATTCAGCTTGCCAGTATTTTATTGAGTATTTTTGCATCTATGTTCATGAGGGAGATTGGTTTCTAACTCTCCTTTTTTGTTGGGTCTTTGTATGCCTTGGATATCAGGGTGACTGTGGCCTCAGAAAATGAATTTGGCAATCTCAATTTTGCTAAGTGCCAATTTTGCTTAGTCAAACTCATATTGGAAGCATTAAACTCCTCATGCATATTTACTTTCAACAGGGAAACCAACTTCCTTTCAGGTAGAGATGGAGGCCCTGTTAACTGCATTCATGACTCAGTTAGATTACATCGCAAAGTTCTTAAACAAACAAACAAACAAACAAACAAACAAACAAACAAAAAACCCTTCTCTTTGGGTTTTTCTAAGCATGACAAAAATGCCAAACCAAACCAAAACAAATCAATCAAAACAAAACAAAACCCAACAACAACAAAACCAAATGAATTCTTCCCCGTGCTGCTGTTAGTTTCTAATCCATTCATTTCTGCAAATGCCAAGATAGAAGTGAAGATTTGGGTGCAATTTGAGGAAACCAGGATCCCTGAATCACTGTGCCCTTGGGCTCCTTGTTGGTACAGGGTTTGCATGAAGAGAGGACAAACAAGCCATGCACTAAGAGAAGAGATGAAGGCTGGATATGCAAATGTGCTGCCAGGATGGCAGTTTCCCATCACCTGCTTAGATTGTTTGCCAGTGCTGCCTACTCACAGCAATGCTCTCTACAGCGAGTCACGTGATCCCAAGCTCCCCTTCCTTCTAGTTTCCTGACACTGTGCAAGTATTATCATGTTCAAAAGCATTGGTTTTCTTATCTGTATATGAGGAAAAGCATGTCTATGTTGTAGGGTTGTTGTAAAGAATAAGGAGCATAATGTATCTAAAACATCTTGTACAGTGCTGACAGCGTATCAACACTTCTCTTTATTCAAGCTTTTTTCAATGCCATCATTGTCTAAAGCATATTGGATCAATGTTGCCTCTGTACAGGTCCACACAAAAAGGACAAAAATTGTTGATAGTGTAACTCAGTGGTAGAAGGCATTATGCACAAGATCCTGGGTCTAATCCCTAATAGCCAGTACACACACCCAAACACACCACACACATATCACACTCACACTCACACACACACACACACACACACACACACACACACACACACACACACACCACCCCCTCTCACATATAGAAGGAAATGAAAGGAAGGGAGGGAGGGAGGGAAGGAAGGAAAAAAGGGAAAAGGGATGAGGGAGGAAGGGAAGACAGTGCTTGTGATAGTTGATACTAATTTCGAAGTTCACTAGACATGGA